CACAAAACCCCAACATGAAATAAAGATCAGAAAACAAGACTAAAACACCTTTGTGTATGTGATAGGATCCTAACATTTATGTTGCCTGGGTTATTTCTATGAAAGGAAAAAAAAGTATTTGGTGAAGGATGGATCTGTAACTATACTATTCCTATGCCATATTCTTACTCAAATAAGCTTATCTATTTCTAAAAGTTCATAACCTGGGGGGGGGGACGACAATTTTTTTGACCAATATTAGGGTCAAACACTAAGGGTCAAACTAAAACCCTGATGATGCTAAATAAGTTATAAAATTACCAGCTTTATCTGTATTTTGGTATTTGTAAGGCAAATATTTAAATTCAAAAAGAAATCCTTTCAAGTCATCTAAAGTTCTTGGTGGAAATGTAACATGATATGAGAATTCTGGTTACCAGTTAAATTTGAAGTACTTCATCCATTATGGTAGTTTTAGCAGCTATCATTACATTGCTTTAAAATTTCAAAGTATTTTGGGTCCTTCCAAGATGAATGTCCTTTCTTCCTTGCCTCTCATGCCTTATTTTCTGAAGATAGCAATGTTTACTGCAAGACAAAAAAAAAAAATCAAATAGAGCTAAACTGAAGAGTAAACTAGTTATTTCTTTCTTGTAGAATATTCTTAATCCTCTCAAGAGTTATAATTAGTCTCATCCACTTAATAACTTCCTTACTTAAGTTGAGACATGGACAGTGCATCACACACTCAATTATCCACGTCATATTTAAGAACCAAATAACTAACAAGAATCAAACTAGCACTTGAGACTTTGTAAGACTTCATTTATGGTCCTCGTATACCCTCCCTTTTTATCGGCTAGAAATATAAGAGCATTTCTCTATTGAGAAATATTAAACTCTATTTCACTTTTATAAAAATCCAATTCTAAAAGTCATTGACCAACTCTTGATACAGCCTTTGTAAAATATAAAAGTAGGTATCTCCAAATGCAAAATTTTCTCTAGCCACTTTACAGTTTTACTTTGGGCTCAAGTATGAAACATATTTGTGCTTTGGTATATAAAATGTCACCTAAATAAAATTAATAAATGTCTATCATTTCTAACTCTTGGGCACCCAAGTACATGTATGTTCAAACTGACCCGACCCCTAATTTGTTTTATCTATATCACTAAATATAAGGAAAATAACTGGAAGAATTAAGTAGAAAGATAAATGTGATTACTTTTAAATGATTCCTGATGGTACTTACATCCTATAGAATTGAACCTTTCAATAAATTTTAATACAACAGAGAAGCATTTTAAAAAGGAAGTTTTTGTTTGTACACCATCAAACATCTAATTGCAACACAGCTGGGTTATTCATGATGAAAACAACACCCAATGTTCTTAGTGCTTATATCCATCACTTCATGTCGTAGGCACATAACAGAGTTAAGCAGTATGTAGGAGAAATATTACCAAGAATATACATATATCACCAATATACAGATGAAATAACGATGCCCACAATCACATACACAGTGGCAAAATTACTTAGTCTTCTTTCCATTAAGAGTCTTTAAGGGGGCCGGCCGAGTGGCTCAGTTGGTTAAGAGTTGTCTTGGGAACATGAACTGAGCAGCAGAGCTGTCAGTATGGATCTCAGATGGGCCAGTGATGCTGAGCCCTCTACAGCTAAGATGGTGAACAGCTTGACCTGGAGCTGGGCTGCCATGAGTGGTCGGCGACGGCGTAGGCTGCAGCCCCTGCTGCAGTGGGCTGCCGGGAGCTACCATGAGTGGCCGGCAGTCAGTGTGACTGGCTGGCGGTTGGCAGCTGGTGACAGCTGCTTTGAGCTACCGTGAGCATCCATCCAATGGCTGGCGACAGACTGCCTCAGCCGGGAAGAGCGCAATGATCATAATACCAACATGGGCCAGTGAAGCGATGTCCCCCACAACTAGACTGAAGAACAAAAGGACAGCAACTTGTCTGTTCCCCTTCTCCTGATTCCCCAGCGATGTTCCCCTCCCCCAATTCCCCAATAAAATCTTTAAAAAAAGTCTTTAAGGAACAACAATGTAATTTACATCAATTTTAGTGTGAATTTTGAATATGAAAAATTCAACATATGGGTATACAAATATTGGTAACCTAGAAAAGTACAGAGGGATAGAAAAGTAAAGTTATTTCCCAAGGGTGGGTGTTTGGCTAGTGGCAAACTCCTTACTCTCCCCTAATGCTGTGCTCTGTTATCCTCCTATAATCCATACTGCATTCTTTCCTCCCAAAATTGTTTTATCCAAATACTTTATTCTTGGACTTATAAGTATTGCATCATGATATAGCCATTACCCAATAATGTAAGAGATAAAGAGACATAAACAGTGTTTAATTAAATCTTCACATTTTAAAGTTAATATTGAATATCACCCAAAGCATAAGAACCTTGCAATGGTATAATCCATGTTCTGCAATAACCTTTTTGCTAATGTCATATATTATATCTCTACATGTGTATGAAACCCAGTAATAAAGTGGTTTAAGTTACACTTTAAGAAGTCAGCTTTCTATTAAAGAAAATAACAGGAGAAAAATAGATAAACCTTTTATATTTATCATTCTGGGTGGTTTTCATTTCTTTTTGTAGAACCAAGTTTCCATTTGATATCATTGCCCTTCAGCTCAAAAACTCTTTTATTTTTTCTTATACTGCAGGTCTGCTGGCATGAATTATCTAAGTTTTTGTTTACCTGAAATTGTCATTATCTTACCTTCATTTTTGGAGGGGTTTTTTTTTGCTTTTTTTTTAGCTGAGCCATCCTGCCACCTGTTGGCAGCTCAGCTGGGACTTGAACTGCTGTTTCTCAGAGCTCACACTCTTGAACGAGCTCTTAACCAACTGAGCCACTCGGCCAACCCTTACCTTCATTTTTGAATATTATTTTCATTGAATATAGAATTCTGAGTTGAAAAGGTTTTGTTTTCCTTTTTTCCTTACAGCTCTTTAAAGATGCCATTCCATCGTTTTTTGGCTTCCATTATTCTTTTAAGCCAGTTGTCATTAATAGTATTGTTACCCTGTGTATGTATCTTTTGTTTTCTGGCTGTTTGCAAGATTTTCTCTTATCTTTGTTTTTCAGAAGTATGACTAATATGTGTCTAGATTTGGTTTTCTTTGCATTTATTCTTCCTGGGGTTCACTGAGTTTCCTGGCTCTGTAAGTCAGTTTTGTTTTGTTTTTGTTTTTTGGAGTTTTTTTTGCTAAATTTGGTGTTTTCAGCCACTATTTCTTTTTTAAACATTCTCTACCATTTTCTCTTTTTACCTTCTGCAATTTCAATATACATAAGTTTGACTATTTGTAATTGAGGTTATTGTTGTTAAAAATTTTTTTTCTCTGTGTTCTTCAAGTAGGATAATTTCAATTAATTTGTCATCAAGTTCACTGGCCCTTTCTTCTGCCATCTCTCATCTGATGTTAGGTCTAGGCAGTGAATTTTAGATATTGTATTTCCAGATCTACAATTTCTTTTTTTTTCTTTTTAAAAAATAGTTTCTACTTATCTCTGCAGACAGACTATTTTCATTTATTATGCCCTTCTATTCCTTAAGTTTATATTATAATAGCTGATGTAAAGTTATTGTTTCCTGACTCTAACATCTGGATTGACTCCTTCTTCTTGTAACTATGGGTAATATTTTCCTGTTTCTTCATGATTAATCATTTTTTATTGCATAATGGACAATATGGATGACATACTATAGAAACTCTGTATTTTATCTTTCTTTGAAGTGTGTTGATTTTTCACCCATTATGTAGTTAAATACTGGTCATCTTAACTTGTGTATACTTGGCTTTACACTTTGTTAGGGAGGATATGTTTCAGCTTTGCCCTTAGTCCTAGAAGAAATCCCTTAGGCCTTGAACAGTTTGTACTTCTAAGACCCTTCTGAGATTTCAACAGAAACCCTGATGTGTTTGGTAGGACTCAAACTCCAAATGTGATCAGAAATACCAGCCCAACAAATCCCCATGTCAACTGCTAGTTTCCAACAGGCTCTATGGAGTCTCCTCTGTGTATGTGAACTCAGGGATCAGCCAAGGAATCGAAAGGAAAGCATGTACAGACTTTGAGGCTCCATACTCTGTGCCTCTCTCCTTTCTGGGAAGTTTCACCACTAAATTCCAGAACTGGGCACGACTTAAATAGTATTGTGCATTAGACAAAAGTAATCTGTTAATGTTGAATTCCTGATTGTGATTATTTTATATTGGTTACGTGGAAGAACATCACTGTTTGTAGAAAATACACTCTAAAGTATTCAGGTGATGGGGTATAATGTCAAAAACTTATTCCCAAATGATTCAGGAAAAATTATCTGTACTATTCTTACAACTTATGTATAAATTTGAAATTATTACAAAATGTAAATTAAAAACTTAAATGCATCAAATAGACCCTATCATATTTTCATAATGTCTAACACAGTTAAATGCTTGAAGAAAAAGTAGTTACATGGTGAAACAAATTTGGGTAAAGTTACTCATTGTATCCAATCTTTGTGATTCATGATATATGATAACATATCAAATATTTCTACAAATCATGCATTAAACTACTTTCATTTATTCATCCTGCCAACTACATATAAATTAGATACTTAGGACCTGCTCTATGAAAGGCAAAGTTCTGAGTAGTAGAGATATAGATAAGAAGGGCAAGATCAACCCTCTCAGAGAGCTTACACTGTAGCACAGAGAGAGACAAATAAGTAAACAAACTAATTTCAGATGGCAAAAAATGCCTTGAAAAAAATAAAACTGGGTGTTATAAATTGGGTGGTTGGAGATGCCATTTCATATAATGCATCAAGGAAGGCTCTCTGAGGAGATGATATTCAAGTTGAAACTTAAAGAAATGAGCCAGACATGGGAAGATTTAGGTAAAGAATTTTCCAGAAATAGTGCATTCATGTTGTGAGACAGGAATGAGCTTAGAGTGTTCATGGAAAAAAGATTCTAAATTATCAAAACAATGAAAAAGGAATTAGTGAAAAAAAGCTCTTGTGTAACATACCCCTTAGAAATATGTGAAAATTGGCCAAATTTAAACCTATTTATTAATTCCTATGTGATGACAACAATAACATAACAATTATTTAAAATTTTTAATTTTTTTTTAACTATGCAAATTCTCTTTGGGTTCTGACTCTCTATTGCTTCATTGCTTCTGTTAGAACACATCCTTAGTTTTAGTTTATATTTGAAAACCAAGGTTCTGCTCTCTCTGCATGTAAAAAGAAATAAGATTCCTCTTTGGTTTTTTTTTTTCTGCACCAGTATGTTGGGAAAATATCATGGAGACATGCAGAGTGTATGTGGCCATGTTACTACGCGCTCAGTGATGCAACAGCAGCATTTCCTCAAAGCTAAGCTCTCTCTTCTAGGCCTTCTATGGCACTGGATTTTGCCTATTTCCAATGAACAACTTCAACTATATACCTTTAAACAGGAAAGTACACTTATGATTACAGAATGTAAACTACATAATCCTTCTTCAGAAGTGTGGCTTGAATTGACTACATGAACGTCACAT